TGACTCAGCTTAGCCTGTTGGAACACATCAGGGAGACGTTCCTTTTCGGCTGGGGCAGCAAGGGAATCAGCTTTCCGGTTCCCCTCAGCGATTTCCCCTGGCAACGGGGTATGCGACTTTATATGCATCACATAGAAAGGTTGTTCTCTATTCGAGACCAAGTAAATCAGTTTTGAAAGCAATCTAAAGAGATGTTCATTTTCAATGTCCTTGAGAACTGCCTGTTCCGCTCTGGACACCACTCCTGCTACGTAGGCTGAGTCAGTAACCAAATTAATCGATTCTGAAAATTTCTCAAAAGCTCTTACGGCCGCAGCCAGTTCAGCTATCTGGGGTGACCCCTCTACAAACTCAACATCAGCTTCCCAAAGCTGAGTCTGTGGATTTCTCCAAGTCATCACCAACTTGTGGGATGTCCCAGATGCATCAGTGAACACTGTGAGAGCTTTGAGTGGCCTTTGGCTCCTTTTCTCACAAGGAATGAGATGGAATTCCTCATGAAACAATTTGTGTGATGGTGCATGAACTGAAATTTGCCCACTATAGCTATCCAGAGCAAATTGGAGATTAGCATTGCTCTGCAGCAGGTGCTCAAACATATCTTTGGTCAGTCTCTCAGGGGAGTTTCTGCCTTCTCCAGAGAGCCTGACTGGGAGGTGAATACACATAAAGTCACAACCTGCCAGTTCCTGCAGCCTTACCCTGGCTTTTTGAATCAACTGAGCCATCAGCTCTTGTGGCTTGGTGATAGTTTTGGGTCTTTGATGGGAGAGGAAAATCCATTCTATTATTAAGAGTGAATCTCTCTGCCCCTCAGCCCATTGGAATATTAACCCATGTAGGTGTGGCAATTTCCCCAGGACAATAAATTTGAAAGGCCGCTCAGGTTTGAAGCGGTGTGCCTGTCTTTCTGTCAAGGCCTTTTGTGCCTTTTCAATTGCAGTTGTTGCTTCTGGAGTCAGCTCCCTGGGAGACAGGAACTCTCTCTCCCCTTTCAATAAATTGAGTAGGGGGCTCAGGTCTTCATTTGTGAGACCTAGTAATGGTCTGACCCAGTTTAGTGACCCGCATAGAGAATGGAGATCTGCTAGAGTTTTAGGATTACCAATAATTTCCAATTTTTGCGGAACAACAGTCCATGCAGTAATTTCCAGGCCCAAGTATTTCCAAGGTAGCATCCTTTGAACTTTGTCTTCCTGCAATTGGAATCCAGCAGAGGTTAAAACTTTAATCACTAGGTCAAGGGTGTCTTTCAGTATGTTATTATTGGGACAGCATATTAAAATATCGTCCATATAATGCAAAATGATGGCATCTCTTTTTTCAGCACACACAGAGGACAGCAATGACCCCACATACCACTGGCAGATGAAGCAGCTCACTTTCATTCCCTGAGGTAGTATTGTCCAGTGGTACCGTTTCATTGGGGCTTCTCGGTTAATTGTGGGAATGGAAAAGGCAAACCTTGGTGCGTCCTCTGGGTGCAGGGGAATTTGAAAAAAACAATCTTTAATATCTAGTACTGCTAATAGCAAATTTTGTGGTAACATAGTTGGGGATGGCATACCTGGTTGGAGAGACCCCATGTCCTGTATTTTTTTGTTTATTTCTCTTAAATCTTGAAGGAGGCGCCATTTATCTTTCCCTGGCTTTTTTATTACAAACTCCAGGGAATTCCAAGGGCTGGTTGTTCCTACTATGTGTCCTTTGGCCAATTCTTCTTCCACCAATTTTTCTAGCGCCCTGAGTTTCTGTTTGCTGAGAGGCCACTGATTCACCCAAATTGGATTATTATCTAACCAAGATAACTGTTGGACAGGACACTCTACAGTGGCCTCTATTAAAAATCCTGAGGTGTCTCAAGAATTGTTAATTTCACTCCCCACTGGGACATGGTGTCTCTTCCCCATAGCGGGCACTTGTAGTCAATAACAAAAGGTCAGACAGTAGCTATCCTACCGTCCAGACCTTCAATCTGGACGATATCTTTAGCAATTTTTGCCAGTTTCATCCCTCCAACACCCTGTATTTTTCCTGCCACCGGTTGTAGTTCCCAGTGTGAGGGCCACACCTTTTCCAGTATGATAGTCACATCTGCCCCAGTGTCAATTAACCCTTCTACATGGAGATGTTCTCATTTATGTGTTAAATTACATCCCATAATGGGCTGGTCTTCACCCACTACTTCTGCCCAGTAGACTCCTGGTGCTTTGTCATCTATTGGGACTTCTGTTGGAACAGGGATTACCTGGGCTATTACCTGCCCTTTGTCTATATAGAAAGGGGGTTGGGGGCACCTAGCTAAGAGAGTGAGGTGTGTTAGGTCTCCCTTAATTGTAGCCACCCATGGGAGCCACCTCAATCTCTATTGGTGTGTGTGCTGTGTCTCCAATAACAAAATACCTGCTATCCAGTCCAGCCAGGTTTTGTGAATTATCCTGCAAATCTACTCCCACGACAGTCCAGCAGTCAGATCTGAAACAAAAAGCTTTAGAAGTTATAAGTCTGAATCGCTTTTGCGGTTGCCAGACCTTATTAGGTAAACGTTTTTCACAATTTTATTTCTTCAGTTTTTCACCCCCCTCCCCCCTTTTTATTAAAGGACAGAGATTTGTCTCCGCTTCATTTATGTCTGCACCGAGCGGGTAAGTGCTGAGACCTAAGTTTTTTGGCAAGCTGGTATCCGTGTGTTTCTGTTGTTTTAAAGGACAGTTTTTTTGCAAAATGTCCCGGTTTTCTGCAGTAAAAACAAATTCGCTGTTGCTGGTCAGACGTCATCTGTTCATTCCTTGTCTCAGATGAAACTGCAGCAACAGGTCTTGGGGTGGTCCAGGGAGGTCTCTTTTCCTGCGAAAACATCTCTGCTTTCCTCGCACAGGCCTCTGCCATCTGTGCAAGTGTTGGAGGGGGATCGATTGGCAAGCCCAGAATGACTCTACGGCAAGACTCATTAGCATTTCTCTGAGCAATTTCCTTGACTAACTCTGTCTGTACCACAGGGTCTTCTACCTGACGGGAGACTTGTTCTCTTAATCGGTCTAAGAATTGCAGGAATCCTTCTGAAGGCATTTGTTTTACCTTAATATAACTGCCCTTAGTGTCAGCTGTTGGTAGCTGGGTAAAAGCTTTTTCTGCAGCTGCAGTGATTTTATCTATCACAGCTTTTGGCAAGGCCATAGTTTGGTCCTCAGGTTTTTCCTATACTCCTTCACCACATAAATGCTCAAAAGTAATAGCATTATTTAATAAATCTACATTTTGGTGATTGGTTTTTTAATAATTCCACCAGTATGTTTTTTAGAAATCATTTCCATGTGTTTTCCCGTAAATCAAATTCAGATGGTGTAAGCAAATACCTAAAAAGATCTTTAATATCTGTAGGAACTAAATCATTTGAGGTTAATGTTGTTTTAACAATGCTTTTAAATATTTCACTATTACAGCCAAATTCTCTTTGAACTTTGCAAATTTCTTTTTTATCTTGGTATGAGAACGGCTTGTAATGCCGATTCTGTGGTCTTGTTCCAGTAGAAGTTACTGGAGCAGCAGTAGGGGAAAAAAGCTGAGTCTCAAATTCCAGGTTCTCCATTCCTGGGGTTTGCATTGAACCGGCAGGGGAGAGAGGCTTGTCCTGCCCTGGAACCAGCAAGGCTATAATTCCCCCATCCCCCAGGGGCACCATGTGGCTCCACACTGGGAGCAGGCTGTGAGGTTCCACCCCTCCATCCCCCGGGGCGTCCCCCCGGGGCCATCAGGGCAATTTGCAGCAGCACAACCACACCCGCCTTTGGAATGTGGTGAGGCAACCTCACCTCCCTGCTCGGTCTCGGCCCCGCCCCCCGGACCGTGGGAACTGGGCGGGGCTCCGCCCCTCACCCCCCTTTTTTCCCCCACCGGGGAATACTTACCGGGTCTTGACTTGGGCTGTGGGAGACGTCCGAGCACCCCAGAAGCGGTCTCCTGCGCACCGGGAGATTGTCGCTTCTTCCCCTGGGAGCGCTGCCGGACAGAAACCGGCCTGCTGCAACCAGGGTAGCCGCCGCCCAAAGAGTCTTTATAAGTCCACACAGACTCCTCCGGGGGTCTCCACGGGCTGTAGAGGCCCCACGTTGGGCGCCAACTGACGCTGCCCCTGCCGCGGCTCTCCTCGCCCTGGCTAGCTCTTGCTCCCTAGCCGNTTGCACATTCACTTGAACAGTGAATTCAAAGAACAACACCAAAGCCTGGCAACCAGAAACCCCCACTGGATACTGGAGTCAAACAAAAAAAAAAAAGACAAATTGTGATTGGAATGATCAGATCAAATTATGTTGGCACAAAAGTCCTGGAGCTAATCCTTACCGATCCTTCAAAAGCTTGAAGAATTCCTGGGATAAAGCAGAAACTGTAAATGACCAATGGAAAGCACCTGATGGAATATACTGGATATGTGGGGAAAAAGCATCCAGTGAATTACCCTGCAGGTAGAAAGGATCCTGCACTCTGGGAATGATTTGACCCTCCTTTTTGCTCCCAAAGTCCAAAAGTAAACTATTAAGAGCACCCCTAGATGAGAGCCTGGGCGAGAAAAAAGAGAGCTGAATCTTGAGTTTCCAAAAGCAGGAGGGAATCAGAAGTGGGGACAAGATGAGTGGCCTGCAGAGAGGATAAGAGCTTGGCAATAGCCCAGCAACTTGGGCTCAAGACGGGAGCTGGGGATACAGGAGCCCAATTTACCTATTCAACCGACTAGGAAGACTTCAAGCCATGGTAGGAATTGTATCAAATCATAGCTCTGAGGCTCTCGAGTTATCAGCTAAACAGCATTCACTAATGCAAGCATTTGTGTATCAGAAGAGAATTGCTTTGGACTACTTGTTAGCAGAAGAACGGGGAGTCTGCAGCAAGTTCAATGAATCTGAATGCTGTGTAGAAAGAGATGACGATGGAGAAACCATAAGAAACCTTGCAGCAGAAATGAAGCAATTGGCACGTGTAGCGGTTCAAAAATGGAATTCTATCCTTCAAGCTTCTTGCTGGGATCAATTGTTTGGGGGGAACTATCTGGGGAAAGATTGGTGGAAAAAATGAGGATTTTTAATATGATGTAAAAGAATGGGGCTCTTATTTCTGCCTTGTCTCATCCCATGTTTTATCCGATTCATCCATTCTGTTGTCTAAGGCATGCAAATAGCAGCAATGCCCATTGATCCTGAGTTAGCTCCAATAAAAACTGGCCAATCCAAGGGAATACCCAAAATATCTAAAAGAAAGGAATTGAAAGAAAAGAAAGAGAGCAGAGCTGCTGAAGCTCAGGCCAGATTTAAAGCTCAGACACAACTATTTGACAAGTAGCATGAAGCTACTGCACAGCCAAAATACAGCTCAGGATACAATAGGCATTACCTGCATTGATGTACAATTAAGCACCCAAACAAAAGAATCAAATACTAAAATAACCAGTCTTATAAAAAATTATTCATTGTAAGTACTGATTATGAAATAAGTGAACTGTATAAAAATTGATCATAAAAGCACAAATTAATTAATACATAAAGAAAGCAGAGGGACTGTGACACATAGCATGAATAAAATTGGGCTAAAGTTATAATCTTGTCTGACAAGAATCCTGGCATATTTCCAGGAAACCTTCCCTGACGAGATTCTAGTGACATGCAGCAAGGCCAACATGAATATTCATTTGCAAGGGGCATATCTCCAAGAAACCTCCGTCCCATAAGATTAGAACGATATGCACTCATAAATATTCATCTGCAAGAAGTGTATTTCCAAGAAACCTGATGAAATGACAACATATACGCCCAAAACAGCATGAATATTTGTCGGCAAGCAGTGTATTCCAAAGGAGCCCAGAAGAGCCTGAAAACATATAAAAAGCACCTTGGGACAGTTGCAGTTTGTGAAGCACGGTGGGGAAGTGCTGCAGAGCCTCCTCCCTGTCTCACCTGGTGCTGATCACCTGGCACAGCCCCAAACTGATTTTTGCTTATGGTTTCCTTTTGATGATTGTAATTTGATTCTAGAATTAATTTCTTCTTTTTACTAATCAAACTGGCTAATCATTTATAACAAATGATATTAGAATTTTGACAACTAGGTCCCTTGAGCTAATAACAGTTTAATTAAAAATTAATTCAATTTAGTAAATTGAATAGTAATTTGGTAGAAAAGAATATAGTTTAGTAAAAGAATACAATTTAGTAAAAAATTATTATTTATAGATATATAATTCTCCAGTAATTAAGTATGATTAAAGCATAGAGAAAAAATAAACCGGGTTATGGGGAGGGCTTGTTACCCCACCTCACACACAGAACTGACCGGGGTACGGAGGCTTCCCACCCTGCCTCACGTACAAAACAAAGCCCTTCAAGCTAAACTTGTATACTGTATGCTTATACATATTCATTAATGTTTGCCATAAGTTTCCTCCTATTTCTGATTTTTCTGATTTTACGTCACTATTCTTCACAGCACATGCTCCACTTGTTGTTAGGGGGTCATCAGTCTTCTTTTGGTGGTCTTTTGGTGAAGGCTTCTCCTCTTCCTCGTTGTCCTTTGGACAAACCTTTCATGTTTGTGCGTGCGTACTAAGTGTTGTTATGTCAGTCCACTCATTAGTCTGATATTTACTGATTTTTAGGCCCAATGCCTAAAGTCGTTCTAATTTTGTCCATCTCAAGGCCATTTTCAGCTTGGAACATCACTTATCTTCCAAACTACATCCTGTACCTCAGTTTTAACATGTAACATCTGTAAAGGGCTGCATCTGCCTTGTAACACTGATCCTTTAGATTGCTTCAAATAATAACTTTACTAACAGTTACAAATTATTTCACACAAATCAATTCTATTTATTACACCACCCTCCAGGGTACCCAAAATTTGAAAACAGATCCCTCTCTGCTGTGCTGACAATTTCACACCCATTTTCCTTGATGTTAAGCTGCCAGCACAACAAAAATCCACTCTCCCCTGCAGCAAAAGAAACAACTTAACAAACTAAAGATCAAAGTTCCAGGGCCAGTCTCAGGGACAGGGTGCTTTCCACAGCCAACTATCGTGGCCTGAAGGTTCGTGGCCCCCTGTCTCGGTTCTAGAAGACAGGTGTCCGCTAGGGAGAGCAGGAGCCTCCCTTGGGATGAAAGAATGTAGACCCTCTCCCTCCGAATTATTGTAAATTTGAAATCAAGGGGCTTTCAGGCAGAGATCTGGGGATAGGAATAACAGTTCTTCACTAGTATAACCAGGCAAACAAACAAACAATAACTACAGCAATAACAAGAAAACAGAAACAGGGACCCCGTGACAGCTTTCTCGGCTGAGATGGGATGGAGGAGAGGCTTTGTTTTCACAAACCCCTCGGGCAGTCAGTCCCGGTGCTCCTGCAGGGCTCCGAGGAACAGTCGGCTGGAACAGCAGGGATGAGCTGAGATCCTGGGCTGGTGGATGAGGTGGAACAGCAGCTCCGCGGCGGTGCCTGGCACTGCCACACGTCCCGGCAGGGCAGGGGGTGCGAGGCCACCAACAAAGAGGGGAGAAGGAGAAGAAGCAGCCGCTCCGTCTGGGTGATGGCAAAAATGCCCTTCTCTCCACCGCAGCAGCTCCGCGACCCAGCACACCAACGTCCTTCCCCGAAAAACTA